GTCTTCTGCCTTTGTTTCCAAAATTCTTTTTAATGCAACTCAAAATCCTAAAAAACCTGATGCTCTGAAGGAGTTAACCCTACACAGAAGAAAGAGAAAAAATAATTTTAGGGGGAATCTTCACATATCTTTTACAATAGATTCTTTTGCTTATAGCACAAAAGTTACCAGTACCATGTGATTATAATTCTTTCTAAATTCTGGTCAATTCAACCAGTAAGCAGAAAGTTCCTTGATTCAACATGAAGAAATCTTCTCAACAGAGTCATCTGAAATATGAGCTACTAACAAAATTTCCTATGGTCTAGGGCCACTACAAGTAGCTGGTTTAAATGCCATTTTTCAAAAATAAGAACATTTTTTATATAAATATATTTAGTGTCAATAAAAATTAAAATGTTTACCCAAAGAATAAACTGAAAACAAAAAAAATGCATCCTAAAATGTAAGTAAATAGTATCACATCCACTTGCAAAACTGTTCAAAGAATAAAGAGATTCTTCTGTAAGTAAAAAGATATCATAACCACCCAAAAACTAACATATAGAATCAATAAATTAGCAGGATAAAAATGTCTTAGGAGACATCATTACAAAAAAATATGTGACAGAAAATTTCACTCTGTAACAAACACAAGCTATAAGCTTGCTTTTTCATCATACTATATACAACACGTACATCCACCAAAATAATCCACTCAAAAATACTTGGTAGTAAATTTAACAAAAGAGATAAAGGGCTTATACAGTGAAAATATAAAACATTGTTGAAAGAAATTACAGAAGACATAAACAAACAGAAAGACATACATGTTCACAGATTTTAATATTAAAATGATGACACTACCTACCCAAAGCAATCTATAAATTCAAGGTGATCTCTATCAAATCTGAAAAGCATTTTTATTTCCTATGTAGAAAAACACATCCTAGATTCATAAGAAATTTCAAGGGACACTAAAGAGCAACGCAACCCTAGAAAATAAAACAAAAATGGAGGTCTCACACTTCCTGATTTCAAAATTTACTACAAAGCTATAGTAATCAAAACAGTGTGATACTGATATGACAGACATACAGACCAATGAAATAGAATAGAGAACCTAGAAATAAACCCTCCCATATGAATTCAACTGATTTTAAATGACGATGCCAAGACCATCCCATGGGGAAAAGACACTCTTTTAATTTGCTCATTTGCTCATTTACCCAGCAAATGGTGCTGGGTACACTGGATATCCACATGCAAAAGACTGAAACTGCACCTTTCCTATACACCATATACAAAAATTAACTCAAAATGGACCAGAGATCTAAATGTAAGACCTAAAACTGTAAAACTACTAGAAAAAAATATAGGGTGAAATTCATAACATTGGATTTGGCAATGATTTACTGAATATAATATCAAAAATATAGAGGCAACAAAAAGATAAATTAGATTTTACTCAAATTAAAACATTTGTGCACCAAAGGATACTATCAAAAGAGTGAGAGGATGACCTACAGAATGGGAGATAATATTTGCAAATCATATATCTGAGAATGAGTTAATATCCATAATACATAAAGAATTCCTACAACTCAACAAGATACCCCAATTAAAACATACACAAGAAACTTAAATAAGTATTTCTCCAAATAAGATACACAAATGGCCAATAAGCACATGAAAAGACACTTAATATCACTAGTAATTAGGGAAATACAAATCAAAACCACAATGAGTTACCACTTCACACCCACTACGGTGGCTATTATAAATTTTTTTTAAGTAGAAAATAAATATTGACAAGGAAATGAAGGAATTGGAACCTCTGTGCATGACAGGCAAGAAGGTATGCAGCTACTGCAGACTCCCCAACAGCTTAAACAGAATTACAATATGATATAGCAATAATACTCCTAGGTACAATATATGATACCTAGGGACTCAGATCCTTGTACACCAATGTTCACAGCAGAATTATTTACCACAGCCAAAATTTATTGCTAAATGAATGGACAACAAAAAGTGGTATGCATATATACAAGAGAACACTATTCAGCCATCAAAATGAATGAAATTCTGATATATGCTATAACATGGCTAAACATTGAACACAACATGCGAAGTAAAGTAGAGACAAAAGTATAAAAAGTATAAGATTCTACTTATATGAGGTACCTAGAATAAGCAAAATCACAGGGATAGAAAATAATATAGAGGTTACCAGGGTTTGAGGGAAGGGAGGAATTGAAAGTTATTGTTTAACGGGTATAGTTTCTATTTGGGATGATAAAAAAAATTCTGGAAATAGTGGTGGTGGTTACACAATATTGTGAATGTACTTAATATGAATGAATTGTACATATTAAAATGTCAAACTTTATGTTATATATATTTAATAACAGTAAAAAATAATCTACTTGATAAATATCTAATTATCTCCCACTGCTGCTCAATTTCCAAATGACATTTAAATGTACTGTGTGTGTATTACCACAAAGTCAGGAAATCAAGACAGATCAATTTAATAAGCTAAACAAAAAAGAAGAGTCTCACAAATAATGAGAAGACAAAGAAACACCCCAAACTCAAAGGGAAAGGAGGAATCCCCAAGAGAACTAAACAAAATAGAGATGAGTAAACTTTCAGATATTGAGTTCAAAACAACAGTTCTAAAAAAGCTCAGTGAGCTTAGTGAGTCAAAGAGAATTACCAAAAACTAGAGGGAAACTATGAGGAACATACTGCAAACTATATCAGCATGAAAAAGGACAAAGAAACTGTCAATAAGAGGCAAGAGGAAATGAAGAATACAATTTCTGAATTGAAGAACACAGTAGAAGGAATCAAAAGCAGGCTAGATGAAGCAGAGGATCAAATCAGTGAGCTAGAGAACAAGGTAAAAAAAAGCTTTCAAAAAGAGCAAGAAAATTCAAAAAGGCTCAAAAAGAATGAAGAGGCATTTAGGGAAATACAGGAAAACCTGAAACATAATAATATCTGGATAATAGGGATTCCAGAAGGAGAAGAAGAGGAGCAAGAAATAGATAACGTGTTTGAAAAAGTAATGATGGAAAACTTCCCCAATTTGAGGAGAGGCAGTCACACAAGTCCAGGAAGCACAGAGGGTCCCATTCAAGAGGAACCCAATGAAGCACACTCTAAGACACATCATCATTAAAATGGCAAATATCAAAGACAGACAGAGAATCCTAAAGGCAGCAAGGGAGAAACAGGTAGTAACATACAAGGGGGCCCTTATATGGCTAGCAGCTGACTTCTCCACAAAAACACTACAAGCCAGAAGCGAGTGGCAATAAATATTCCAAGTCATGAAAAGCAAAGGCCTGCAACCAAGACTGCTCTACCCAGAAAGCCTCTCAATTAAAATAGAAGGCAAAGTAAGGAGTTCCCCAGACAAAAGAAGGCTAAAAGAATACACCTCCACCAATCCAACATTGCAAGATATGCTAAAGGAACTGCTTTAAGAAGATGAAGAAAAAGAGTCTATGAATACCCAATTCCTTTCACAGTCACCAATACTTGATATTACCAATATTTTTAATACTTATTGATCTGATTGTGATAACAATGTGTTATTTTAACTGCTACTTTATTTGTTAAAACTAAACCTGTTTCTATATATTTCTTGCCTATTTCTATTATTTTAAAAAAGGTTTAAATGACTTTTTGGTATTCTTTATCCATTTTTTGACTAAATGTTTGTAGAATTTTTTCCCTTAAAAAAAAGATACAACTATTAACCCTTTTTTAGATGTAATGCAAACACTTTATTATTCTATTACTGGTCCTTTAACTTTTTTTATATGTATATTACTGTATAGTCTTAAATGTTTAATATAGTCATAGTCAATATTTTACTTTATACCTTCTGGGTTTGAGTGTTTTACTTCAGGGTAAGAAAAATATTAGTTTGTATTTTCTCCTAAAACTCCCTAGGTTTTACATATTGATTTTGAACCCACCTGAATATTTTTTGTATAATGTGTGAAATAGGGCTCTATATTTGTTTTATTTCAAGTAATAGTGCTTCATGCACCTTATTTGTTGAATAAGCCTTACTTTCCCCATTGATTTGAAATGTCAATTTAGTCATATATTACATTGTTAGACAGATATACATGTATATATAAATGAGAATGTTCATTTCATTGATCTACTTGCTTATTTCTGTGCTGGTGTCATGTTTTAATTGCTGAGACTTCCTAATGAATTTAAATTTTTTAATATTTTATAATGGATTTTGACACTAAAAAAATAAATAAATAAAATCAATCTGCATTTTAAAAAAATAAAGAAGGAAGGAACTCCTACTTTTTGTGACAACATGGATGGAACTGGAAAATATTATACTAAGTGACATAACTCAGTTGGTGAAAGACAAATACCATACAATCTCACCTATAAGAGGACTCTATTCAACAAAATAAACCAACAAACAAAATAAACCATGGAAACATGAAGCAGACTGAAAGCGACTAGAGGCGATGGGGAAGGAGGACAATGATGGAAAGAAGAGGAAGGGACTAGACACAGAACATGTATGGATGACCCGTGGGCATGGACAACAGTGTGGGGATTGACTGTGGGAGCTGTGGGGGTGGGGGGCGTCAGGGAGTGTGGGATGGGTGGAGGAGGGCAAAGGGGGAATAATTGAGACAACTGCGATAGAATAAACATGATTTAAAAAAAATAAAAACACACTGAGGAGGAAAAAAAATAAATGTATTATCTTTGTGTGCATATGCACATAAAATGAATTGCCATTGAAAAACAGACCTTGGCATGTTGTGCACATTAGATCTCCTAGAACGCACTTTCAAATTTCCAAATAATTATAACTGCACTCCAATGTGATTGCTATTTCAGTTATTCATCTACATCAAAATTAATAGGTCATAAGTTAAGGGCAAATATCTACGGATGGTTTAAATTCTACTGACGCTTTAAATGTATGTTTATAGTCCAAGTGCTCAAAATGAACATTGTACCTGATAGAGCATGACAGGTTCTATGCTGTATCCTAAGGTATCTGCAAAGTTCTTAGCGATGACTGTTTTTCCACAACCCTACAAATGGAAACACAATCATTTAAGAGAAAAGTCAAAACAACCAAAAGTCAGAAAACAAAGTTTGCAGTGAAGCTGACATTCTTACTTTTCCTCCAATTAAACAGATGTCCTTAACCATGTGAGACTGCATCATTTCAGCCAGTAGTTGTTTATGGCTTAAAGTCTGTATAAAACGTTCTGATACACAAGGCTGACTGAATGGCCTGGTCCCAGCTGGTACCTGTAATTAAAGAGAGGTAAACATTATATGCATATGTATTTATCAAAATATTAATAAATGAGAACACATAACTGCCATGTCAAGCATCTACTAATTTTTTGCACAATTCAATTCTAAACTGTTTTTGATATTTCAACAGAGCAGCAACTATCTTCTCATTCATAGATCTGATGATTATCAACAAACCTCCAAATCAATCATCCCTCTAAAATTAAAGCCCCATGGTGGCAGACATTTTCATAAGAATCATGTCATTTTCATGCCATTTATAAATTATAATAACAATGTCACTACTTGAGAATGAAGGGTTTTGTCCAAATTCCAGTTATAAGTACAGATTTTAAAAATCAGTCTACCGGGACTCTCCAATACCTGCTGAATTTTAAAATCCATGTCCACAAATCCTCTCCCAGTCTTATTTCAGTTACCCACTCAGAAGCCTCTGTTCTTAAAACCTCTGGTTCCCATCCCTCATACTTCTTTTATTTCCTACCTCCTCTTTAATAGTCTCTTGGGAACCATATCAGAAGATTTCCATGCTCTGCTAAGGACTCCAGACTTGATCATACTGTACACAACATGAACTCTAAAGAATTGTAAGTTTGAAAGTGACAAGATCAGATTTGCACTTTAAAAAGGTCATCCTGGGTGGTACCAGAGAAGGCTAACTGGAAGGGACTAGAGGCAATAAAGTTAGAAAGCTATCACTAAAAGAAAGGAAATAATGAAAGCTTGCTCGTACTTCATGCTTCATGCCTCTGGACACACAGTTTAAACACCTGAAATGTCCTATCATCTTTCCACTCCTGGGCCACTGGAAAACTCTTATGCCATACTTTAAGGCTTAGCTCACGTCCCACCTCCTCTCTGAAACTTTCTCTATTCCTCCTGACTCCTTGTATTACTTCCTTCTCTATATCCTCATACTCATTCTAGTGACACTTATCTGCCATTAACCTTGACCATCAGCTTGGTGAAGCCATTCATCTGAAGGAGACAGAAAGGTGAAATGGAAAATAATTCTATTTAGAAGTCCCAGCTGTGACATTTCCTGGCTGGTGACCATGAGGGAATTGATTACCCTCTTTACATCTGTTTTCTAATCTAGAAGATAGTAGGAGATAATAAAACTTGTCTCCAGGATGATTGGAAAGTTTAATGGCATAATATATGCAAAGAGAAAAATACACAGTGACTAATACACAGCAGCACTAGTAAACTTAATATAGAGCTTGACTCATAGTAGATATAATCAATGTAAGTGTGATGAATGAATAAAACAGTAATATAAGTATTAGTGATAGCAAATTAAAACACACCAAAGAAGTCGATAATTAAAGTTTGGTCTGTTACAACATAAGAAGGCAAGCCTTTTCTTTCTTATATTCATTTACAATTTATTTATGTCAGGATTTTTCAAACTGTGTTTCGTAGGGTTCTCAAAAAAAGGGTTAGAAGAAAGGAAGGTAGGTAAGCAGACAGAGGTTTGTGACCAAATACCATTTCCCTCCTCTAAAAACTATTCAAGAACAGCTCCTCTTTCAATTGTCCCATGTAGTTAAGAAAGATTTTATTGAAAAAGTGTTCCCTCTGCTACCATTTTCTTTAAGCCTACATAAACTCAAACCTTATTTGTTGAATATATCATTATCCTGGTTAGTTTCTGGGACACAATTATATTGAGTTCCAAAATGTCCATTACATTCATCAGTGATGCAATTGGCAATAATTATCCATGTGGCAAGTGTGAATTGGAAGCCAAATACATACCCAATGAGTTCCTGTAGACCTTTGTTTTACATTTGCATCTGGGTCAGGCCTATCCTAATTTTCTGAAATTGGCACTTCATTTCTGATCACTGTACATCCCTAAATGGCATTTATGAGCATTGGGGATGCTTAGAAGCTAAGACTATTTCTTTGATAGTTACTTTGAATTTCTCTACTATCATATGTCATTTGTATGACACTTACATTTTGCTATGTGAGCAATGTAAGTAGACTTCTGCCTCTAAATGACAAACTAGCTTTCCGTGGACTATTATTCATATGAATTTCCAGTTCTAATACCAGTGGGAAGAGGTGAAGAGCTCTCAGTGAAAACAGAGGCAATGGTCTGTATGTAGTCTAAAAAAGTACCATTCGTAACGTTCAAAGACAGACGGACATTCATTGCACTGAAAAATGAGAATCAGGTCTCTGTTTTGATTTTCTCTGATTAGGCTAACTAGCAAGTGAGAGGACTTTGATTTAAAGAATACTCTTCTCTCACTAAATTGAAAACCTCTACTTTCAACCAGGAGAATAAAGCCATTTCTATAGTTTCAATAATGTTTTATATTTTATACAGAAATAATTCCTGCTTAATTTTTTGGACATAATATCAGTCAAAATTTCTGTGAATAAAAGAGTAAGTCTTCATCCATAATCCATTTGTGTTGCATAAGGCTGCAAAAACAATTAAGTGGGAAATGACTTCTAACTTATGTGTCTACTCTGCCTGGAAAGAAAGTTTTGAAGGCATCTATATATATTTCATAACAATGTCTGTTCTTTATGGATTTGATCCATAAATATTTATCTATCTGAAAACTTTGATACTTGGAATGTTTTCCTTAAAGCATTTGGTGCTCCAAGAAAAAACATTTGGTGCTAAGAGTTGCAGCACTGATGCCTTTCCCCAACTTAATTCTATTTTAAAATTTGATATTTCCTTCCCAATGAGATGCAGAGTAAAATTTGAGACCCTCCATTAAGTAGGGAGCAGCATCTGTCACTGCGGATAATTACTATTTTTTTAAGGTTTAAACCTTAAACCTCCTATACTTCAAATCATTAGAGAAAAAATGATTTGCTTATATTTCCCTTGAACTTGATTCTAATCACTTTAAATCATAAATTATGCAATATTTGTTTTTCAAATAAATCTTTCCTGAGTATAAAAAAAAAAAAAAAAGAAAAAAAAAGAAAAAGAGTGTTCCCAAAGACTCAGACTACAAAATGTTTTCATTAAACAATACTTAACTTCATTTTCTCAGAGGTCGACTTTTGTTTTTGATAAAAGACTATCCCTATGTTTCTCCTGAACTTCTCCAGTTTAAAACATACATGACATAGATATAGATACAGATATATAGATGTGATGTCATAAAGCCAAAGAAGAATTATAAGGGGACCTTATACCCAATTCAGGTCCTAAAAAAGGGCAGAACCAGGCACATTTTAGAAAGTATAAACTCAGATTTGTTACCTTAATCGTCACCTCTTTTTCTGCAATCCGGACAGTCACAGAAGCTTGGGGGAAGTGGTTTTCAGTCACCCTCTCCACTCTCACAATCTCTTTAGGAAGCAAAGAGCTTTTTGAATCTTGGAGTTCAAAACGCTGCAAAATTACAAGAAAATCATGTAATTTACTTTTTGTTTTAGTATTAATGTTGGATACCTGAAAGATTCCATTTTAATAGAACTGAAACTCATTATACATATAAAAATAGAGGTAAAAAAAATTAATGAGAATTTTTTCCTATCTGCATGAATACCATTCTATTTACTCCAACTATTAAAGGTGATATGAAAATAGTCCCTAAAATTTACTAAATGACAGGAAATGGAATCACTGAATTTCTGACCTGGTAGAAGTTTGCAGTCTACATTCCTTAATAATAAAAAGTCCAGTTTCCTAGAAAGGGATGATGAGACTCTTGAAAAACATGTTAAAGTAAAACAAGGCCTGTATCAGTTGATTTCTTAAAGAAACTAAAGTTAACACGTTGCCTGAAATTCACAAAACCAGGGCTTCCTGGACACCATTCTGCTGTCTCTGTGTATGGTTAGCTTAACTGATTACAATAAATTATAGAAATCAATCTTCCACAATATCTGGCACTGTGCCTTTTATAGTGTAGGTTCTCTGTCAAACTGGATTTAAAAAACCAATACTATTGATTCTCTCTCCATGTGGGCCAATTATCAACATTCTAACAATTGGTTATACCCCCTCACAGAAGCTAGTTTTGTAAAAAAGGCACAGAGAAAACAAAAATAAGTATATAAAAATGTGAATAATAATTTAAAATTAATTAAATCTGATAGCATATTCAATATGAAAAGCTTAATTCATTTTTTAATACTGTATTAAACAGGCAGAAATAACCTTCCTCCCAAATCCAGCCATAGAACATTATCACTAGAATGAAAGAGTTGCACCTCAATGAAAAAAATAGATCACCACTTACTCAACAGAATGACACAACTCAAAAAAATATTTTGAAAAGAAAATTATCTTCAACCACAACATTACAAATATAACAGCCCAATTCAAGTCTTCATTAGGTGTCATAAGAATTTAAGACAATTACTCAATCCTCCCCCCAAGCTTAAGAAAAATGATCTATTAGTGCTACTATTCAAAATAAGTTTTACATTTTACACATTTTATTGAGGTCTGTCTGGAAAAAGTCCAACCACTGTTTATATAATGAGAATGCTTTGTGTGACATCAATGTAACCTGGCAGCCAAGGAGAGTGGGCTGGAATGCACATTGCGTGAACAATGACAACTTCACTGAACAAATCAATGGGGGCAGTAGACACCATTGAGTGACTTGTATATTGTGTGGCTGTTGCATTCAAAATCACTGAGCAGGTAGAGCAACAAATCTGCATCAAACTTTGTGTTAAGCTTGCAAATTCCTCCCTGGAAACTATTCAGATGATTCAGAAGGCCGCAGCTATGGGTGACTGGTGACTGGCAGCTTTATCACAACAATGCGCCCATTCATGCATCACGTCATGTGTAGAGTTTTTTGGTGAAACATCAAATCATCCAAGTGACTGATCCCCGCTACTGACCACATTTGGCATCCTCCAACTTCTGGCTTTTCCCAAAACTAAAATCACCTTTGAAAGGGAAGAAATTTCAGACCATTGATGAGATTCAGGAAAATATGACAAGCAGCTGATGGTGACTGAGAGAGCTGTGTGAGGCCCTGAGGTACCTTCTTTTAAGGGGACTGAAGCATCATTGTCCTGTATACAATGCTTCTGTATCTTGTTAAGTAAATGTCTCTATTATTCATATTACATGGCTGTAAACTTTCTGGACAGACCTTGTATATGCAAATTTCCATAGTATCACATAATTTGGTAGGAACTGCTTCCTACACTGTATTTTGAGGGAGGTTTAATAGGAAAGTAGTAAGACTTTAGCCAAGTGATTAAATTCATTAAACTTTAGAACCTAGAGCCATTACATTCTAAGAAAACAAATATACATGCTTAAAGGTATGTTTTTACCTCCGCTTTAATAACATCAGCCTAACTTGATATAGGATTGATGTCAGAGCACTTGTATTCCAGAAATGAACACTAGAGCCTTCAAACACTTGCTATACTGGTTATGTCCTTATAAATAATTCAAGCTAAAATATTTCAGTAGAACAATAATAGTAGACTAGAATATACTAAGATAGTAAAAGAGCTCAAGTTGCAAGGTGAATTACCACTGCCAACATAGGAAATTTATAGGAATATTAATCAAAATGGTAATTGAGGAGTAAAATAGATATGGAATTCTTATAGGCCACATGTTCGCAAGAAGTAGAAACCTAAGTTTATTTACTGTATTTTGCCATGTATAATGCACATCCACATTTTTGGTCCAAACTTTCAGGAAATAAATCTTTTAATTTTTTAATTCAATTTTTTTATTTATTTATATTTAGATACTTGTCTTTTGTAGTATAACGGAATTTTAGCATGTATTATTGAACATATTACAAGATATTTTATGTAACAAATAATTACAAAACACAAGAACAGATAGTTATTTCAGGCACTACCCATGTATAATGCGCATCTTTATTTTTCCCACAGAAACTTGGGCAAAAAAGTGTGCATTATACATGGCAAAATATGGCACCTTTTCATTTTATTTAAATAACTATTTCCCATGAATTGTTGAATTTCAATTAAACAAACTATCAATGTATTTTTGTTACATTTTCTTTGGGATTACATTATTTGAACTGAATTATAATTAAGTAAAAGGAAATCTAAATCAGAGGGGTGTTGGTTTGCAAGGCCTCCACATTCACTCTCACAATTTCAAATCCTGTCCTAACAAGATATTTATTTTCTTCATATCTTTTTCTAGGTTTTTGAGCACTAAGAGGGAAAACTGCCATATCATGTTGTCTGGCTGCTGAACAAATATGCAGCCTGCAGTCCCCACTGGACTCTTTTCCCAAAGCCTTTAGCAACTGATAGAAACCTTTACTACTCTTCACATTTCGCAAGAATTTTAATCCCATTAAGGCAATACCAAAACATCTATTTGGTTCACTCCAAACCTCCAGAACCTAGAATTGCACACATGGAACAACATTGTCAATAATCAATAAAAAAGGTTCATTTAATGGACAATGAAATTCTTTTTCCTTCATCTTCAAAATCATCTATATTTCCATCAGTTCTTACTTCCTTCCACGTCTCAGTAGCAAGGACCTAGCTTCAATTATGAGTAGATGGAAAGTCAGTAGAAGTCCACTTTCTCCATCTCAGTTAATGATAATTCCATCATTTCAGTTGACAGGTACAATATGTTTTCCACCATTCCAAGGCACAATGGTGCTCTGGAAATGTCCTTTCCTACCTACTTCAGACAATATTTCTATAAGTTATTTTCCATGTTCTCCACAGATTTCATCCCTTTTTCCTACAAAGTTTTGTGTCTCCCCCTATTTCAAGAAACAAAAAGCCATTTCTTAATTCTACATCATCCTTGAGTGATCCACCATCTATTGTTTCTGCTCACCATCAACCTTATTTTACAAGTAGTGTGTATTACTGTTCCAGTTTCCTCATCTCTGAGTTACTATTTGGCCCACTGATTTTTTTTTTCTTTTTTTCTTTTTTCTTTTATTTTTCTATTTTTCAAATACAATTGTCTTCACTTTCCCACCACCACTTTCCTCTGCCTCGCTCTCCCACCACGGTCCCTCAATCCTTTCCCACTTTGGATTTGTCCATGGGTCCTTTATACATGTTCCTTAACTTGATCCTTCCCTTCCCTTTCCCCACCCCCAACTACCCTCTTGATTCTGTTGGTTTCCTTTTTCTATCAATGTTGCTGGCTATATTTTTCTTGCTTGTTTGTTTTGTTGGTTAGTTTCCACTTATAGGTGAGATCACATGGTATTTGTCTTTTACCCCCTGGTTTATTTCACTTAAAGTAATGCTCTCTAGTACAATCCATGCTGTTGGGAAGGGTAGTAGCTCTTTCTTTCTTTCTTTCTTTCCACTGTGTAGTATTCCATTGTGTAAATGTACCACAGCTTTTTGATCCACTCATTTACTGATGTGCATTTAGGTTGCTTCCAGCACTTGGCTACTGTAAAGTGTGATGCTATGGACATTGGGGTGCTCAGGCTCTTTTGGTGTTTTCAGATTCTTAGGGTATAATCCCAGCAGAGGAATCACTGGGTCAAAAGGCAGTTCCATTTTTAGCTTTTTGAGGAAGTTCCAAACTGTTTTCCACAGTAGCTGTACCAGTCTGCATTCCGACCAACAGGGGACTAGGGTTCCCTTTTCTCCACAGCCTCACCAGCACCTGTTCTTTATTGATCTGTTTATGATGGCCATTCTGACCAGTGTGAAGTGGCATCTCATTGTGGTTTTAATTTGTATTTCCCTATTGGCTAGCGAGGCTGAGCATCCTTTCATGTCTCTGGGCCCTCTGTATCTCTTCCTTGCAGAAGTGTCTGTCCAGGTCCTTTGCCCGTTTTTAAATTTGATTGTTTTGCTTCTTGGAATAGAGTCATGTGAGTTCTTTATATATTTCGAAGATCGAACCCATCTGATGTATCATTGGCAAAGATATTCTCCCATACGGTGGGTTCCCTTTTCATTTTGCTGATGTTTTCTTTAGCCATGCAGAAGCTTATTTTGATGAGGTCCCACTTGTTTATTCTTTCCTTTAAGTCCCTTGCTTTAGGAGACATATCAGTGAAAATATTGCTGCGTGGGATATCTGAGAGTTTCCTGCCTATGTTCTCCTCTAGGACTTTCATGGTGGCGTGACTTATATTTAAGTCTTTTGTCCATCTTGAGTTTATTTTTGTGTATGGTGTAAGGTGGTAGTCAAAGTTCAATTTTTTGCATGTAGCTGTCCACTCTCCCAACACCATTTGTTGAAGAGGCTATTTTTACTCCAATCTATGCTTCTGCCCCTTTTGTCAAATATTAATTGACCATAGAGACATGGGTTTATATCTGGGCTCTCTATTCTGTTCCATTGATCTATGTGTCTGTTCTTGTGCCAGTACCAGACCGTTTTGATTACAGTGGCCTTGTAATAAAGTTTGATGTTCAGTATTGTGATCC